TAGTGACAATTACATGTACAAATGATTAAAAGGTTTTTTCCAAAGGGTGGCTCAAATTGCCAAAGCTGATCATAGTATTTATTTATGAATAAACTGACAAACATCTAAGCTATTCTGCTAGTACCTGGAAAGTAATGAAGGATTAAGCAGGTCTTTCACATAATAAACCATCGCAGTGTGTCAATGCAGCAAACTTCATTAAGTTAAGAAGTCCAAGATAAACCCTAAAGTTTAAGCAGAGCATAGCCATTATTGCCACAATAAATTTGCATTAGGTCATAAGAATCTTTCTTTGCACTTACAGTCACCAATCAACATGGGGATTTGATTATATGGTTGTGAGTCTCCATTTTGGTTTTTTTGTACTCCCTTCATAGGATAGGAGAGTCCATAAGGGAAGAGGGGTGTAAACTCATTGATATAAGCAGATGTGATGCTGCCTACGCATGTTGTTGCTTATATGTCACTATCTTTATATTTCAAGTGACTACCTGTGTATCTGTTCATCATCTTCCAGAAACAAGCATGTAGGATAGATGAAAGCAAACAGGATGAGAAAGAAGCAGGAGAAGCCTGTGGGAGATGACCAGGCTCAGCCTGAGGGAGAAGTCAAAAATGTTATCAGTCTCAAGTTCCTCACGCCCCAGTGCTGGGTTTCAAAACTTTTTAAAACCTGTTCTGTAGGTGTGGCCTGCTTTGTGGGAGTGGCTTGACATCCATGTGACCAGGTGGGAGTGGCTTGCTGACCATGTGACTGGGTGGGCATGGCCAACTTGTAAAATGTGGTGAAACTCACTTAACAACGCTCTTGCTNCCCTGTTGATGACGTCAGCGACGCGGTTTAATCGGGCACGCTTTAGTCGAGCGCGGTTTTGTCGTGCCACGGTATTTCAGGCACCCTTTGGGAGGCGTGAAGTTATTACTTAAACAAACAGATGGATAGAAACAGGGGGGCCGGGGGGAGCAGAAAGAGGCTTAGTGGTCCTTTGAATATTTTGCTTTGTTTCCTTCTTTATTAGGGTACATTTCTCAGTCAGCCAGATGTTCAGCCTGGATGTGGCATTTTTATTTGCCTGTCGACTCCTTTTCTGAGAACCTGGGATCGGCAGATGTGAACGTCTGAATGTTTTGAATTTTGAAGGTGTTATCGCAGGATGGAAGCTGACTCCCCAAACACAGGTAATCCTCTATTTACAGCAGTTCACTTAGTGACCGTTCAAAGTTGCAACGGTACTGAAAAAAAATGGGGTATATGGCCCTTTAGTTACGACCTTTGCACCCTTGATCGCGTGAATCAAAATTCTGATGCTTGGCAATGGAATTTCATATTTAGGACCGTTGCTGAGTGCGATCCCCTTTTGCGACCTTCTCACAAGGGAAGTCAGTGGGGGAAGCTCGGGAATTGTTCTCAATGCCGAGTGTTGAAGTGATGTGTTGTAGGCTGGGAGATAGATGATGTCGTATCCCTGCCCCTCTCTTCAATTTTGACACAGACGGCCTCTTTGACCCGTCTTTCAAACCAGCGGTCCTCTCTGTCCAAAATGGGGGCTTTGCTGTCGTCTAAAGAGTGGCCTTTGCCAGTTGTCCCAAAAGGTGCTTTTACAGGAGACAACTGGACTTCCTTGTTTTTTTTTTTCCTTTTGAAGACGTTTCTCTTCTCCTCCAAGAAGTTTCTTCAGCTCTGACTGAATAGTGGGGAATGGAAGGATTTCCATTCCTTGCAGACAGCTGGTCATTTGCCTCCTTTAGAGCAATGGTAGTCAACCTGGTCCCTACCGCCCACTAGTGGGCGTTCCAGCTTTCATGGTGGGCGGTAGGGGTTTGCTGTAACTCTATTTTATAAAGTAAAGTTACTTCCCTACTTTATAAATCACTGTTACTGTGGAACCGGTGGGCAGTTAGAAAATTTTACTACTAACAGATACACAAAATTGGGTGGTAGGTATAAAAAGGTTGACTACCCCTGTTTTAGAGGGTCGTCGAGGCCACTTGGAGGTTTGTCTGTGTCCTCAGGGTCACCTGAGTGATGCGCCTGGTTCCTGTAGTCTGGAATTTTGTTTCCTCTGGAAATCCATTCCTACTCCCACACCATTCCAAGGGTCTTCATCCCAAACTGCATAGCTAAATATGTGTGGTAGTAGGGATGGATTTCCAGAGGAAAAATTGCAGACTACAGGGACCAGGAGCACTACGGAGGACACAGATCAACCTCCAAGCGTTTCAAGGACCTTCAGGGGTGTCAAACTCAAGGCCCGGGGGCCGGATCCGGCCCGCAGGGTGCTTAGATCTGGCCGCCCTGAAAACAGCAAAGGACTGGCCCACGGTACTCTGCCAGGGAAAGCGGAGCTTGGGAGCCCGTTTTCTTTGGCAAAGCACTCGGGCCACCACAGGCGCGCCCCTGACATAAGTGACATCGAGCTGGCCACACCCTCCCTGGTCATGTCTACTCCACACACACACACCCCGAGGTCAAATGCAACCCTGATGCGGCCCTCAATGAAATCAAGTTTGACACCCCTGCTCTAAACGGATGCATATGTCCAATTGTCTTGCAAGGAATATAAATCCTTCCATTCCCCACTATCTTGTCAGAGCTGAAGAAGCTTCTTGGAGAAGAAGTGAAACGTCTTCAAAAGAAAAACCAGAAAGTCCAATTGCCTCTTAGAAATTGGGACAACCATGATCATGATGACCAAGAATCACCATAGACTTTCAACATGAATGGCTTTATCTTTTTCTTCTTCTTTTCTTTCTTATCTTCTATCTTATCTTTCTTATCTTTCTATAAAAAAGGCTGTGTGTATATATGCATGTATGTTCCAGCATAATTGTTTGAGCAATTTCAACACAGAAGACTTAACAAATGCTTGCGGGGGGGGGGGGGGGGGGGGGGGGAGAGAGACAGCCCTGGGGTATGTCTGTGTGTGTGTGTTCCAGCATAACTCTAGAACGCCTGGCCCATTAAGGAGAGCAAGTGCGGCGTCCTAGAGCAGCAATTGTTTGTG